GTGGGTGTTAATAAGAAAAAATACCATCTATAGTATTTGTTTCCAGGATGAAGAAGGACACCGAAGAGCACTGTGGGAAGAAAATAAGAAAGTTATCGAGAGACACAATGCAGAGTACGAACAGGGCAAGACCAGCTACACGATGGGCCTCAACCAATTTAGCGACATGGTGAGTGAGAAATGGGTTACTAACTCTGTGTTTCTTCACTTCGGATCTTTACCGTTAGTCTCCTGTTTCTCAATATTTTTGTTTGCTTTTCCATGGAGACGAATGAGGAATTCAGGACAAGTTGCTGTGGAAGGCCAAAGTTTACACAAGATTTGTCTAAATCTGAGACGGTAGAAGAGAACAACTAAGTGACATCTGTGGCAGATAAGGTATGACAGTGTCTCGTCCCTCGCGGAAGGTATGACAGTGTCTCGTCCCTCGCGGACGTCAGCTGTGAAACAGCTGGCGCTTCACTGTTGGACTGAGTGGTCTGCTCTACGGAGTGTGGAGAGAGTTTATACTGGGGTGTGGGTGACAATCTTTTCTTCTTGATTGGGGTGCTATAGTTGGGCATGAAACATGGTGACCATGAAGGCACTCTGACAAAGTCACTGTGCTGTAGTCTTTCTAATCGAGGTCATAAGTGCTTTTCTGCCAGTCGGAGTAACGAGAGGGGATGATTGACAACAATAAGATAGCCCAGGTGTGAAGCAATCTTTACTCCTTTGCTCTTGCATTGCCTCAGGAGCCTGCTGCCCAAGATGATGCTGAGGAGAACGGACCCGTGCAAAGGAGGAGCAGGAGGGGTTCTCTCCATCACATTGTCCAGCATGTGCCCTGCAGAAGAAAATGCTGACTTCATTTAATAGCAACATTGTGATAGGAATGGCCAGGCATAGTCATGCTAATAAAATGTTTTTTACAACAATATCTTAAAATTAAAGCTTGACTTTAAATGTAGCATTGTGCTTGCTTTCTGGTTTTATTTTAGTAATACTGTACATCATTAAAACCTTCTGCTTGACAATATACCTGGCTGTGGGATGGTGTTCTAGGAGTAGGATGGTTCTCTCATCATAGGGTCAGTTTCCCATCCCTGGTGGAGCTCTGTTTCTAGGGATTCAGTTGTCTACTTTCAGCAATGATCTGAAAGTCAACAAGGAATTTTCTGGGATTCCAACTTGTTAATTTGCAGTAGTTGACCAAATATAATTGGCCACAGTGGCGAATTCAGAGCAGAGAAGGCACCTTCTGTCCCACTGTCCTGACCTCTGCCACAAATTTCATTTTATAAAACATATCAGTGACCTGCTCTAACTGTGCTGTGACCAAGTACTAGTCATCTAAAGGATAAAGTCTGTGGTCAAAGGAATGTAGTGTATGCTCAAGTGACCCTATCAGACCCAAGAGAGTCCAGCGGTGCAGGATACACGGCTGTCTCTTGCTGCAATGGCATTCAGCCTAACCTCAGGAGTCATCATAGTTTCAGGAGGGTTCAAATCTCCAAAATCCAGGTTTTTTTCTTAGACTTGAGAAAGCCCATTAACTGTGATTACCTTGTGTGTAATTAAAATAATAACAGCTCATTACAGACTTCCAACAGACAAATGCAGAGTTTAAATTTCCATCCCAAAATAGAATTATGGAGACACAGCAAGGAATGAAAGGTCCAAAGCAAGACAATAACCCATCAGGTAAAGCTCCACCCTTATGCCCATGGCTGACACAGACAATTGAGTGCCTCAGCTACGGTTCCTGCAGGATCTGTAGCCTCTCTTGGGCTGGCTCTTGATATGTTCAGCTTTCCTTAGTGGATATCCTGTGGTTCTAGTCTCAGCACATCCTGTGAACTCCACTGCAAGTTAGATTTCACCTTCACGGTTCCACGAGGCCCCTTTCAGAACTGCTTGCAGAGTCTCTGACCTGAGAGCAGGTGCCTCACCTCAGTGTCTCTCAGAATCCATGACTCACCAAATTTTGGGGTTTTCATGCCTATAGAACCAGTTGCCACAAGTTACACCACCTGATTTTCATGTTTACCCTTGGGTAAAGCTGGGCACTTTGGGATCTTCAATACATCACTTATGGGCACAGATACTGGGGACACATTTCCCTAGGGAGTAGTTTTCCAGAGGCTGGAACAGCAAACCCACCCTGCCTCGCCATTGTTACAGGCAGGCATGTGAGTCTGTAAGGGGGCCACTCTCATTTCCATGATCTTAAGTCTCAGCCATGAAGCTCACAAACACCATGGATAGTTACAAGAAAGCAGAGCATTTGCTAAATAAGAAGTAACCAAGCGTTTGTAGGAGCTTTAGAAGGCAGGCTTGCTAGGGGTGTCCAGTTATGACATCTCTCTTGCTACCTTTCTTGCAATAGTCCCTGAGCCTTAAGAGAGGGCTTTGTTTTGTAAGTGTATCAGCTGGGCTGGACTTCAAAACTCTGCACATTGCCTGGTTGTTGTTCTCTATAATGGTCTCCATTTTTTACAAAGAGAAGTCTTCTTGATTGTGGATGAAGAAATACACTTATCTGTTGGTATAAAGAGAATTATTTAAAATGTGACTACAGATTATGCTGGTTTAGTACATTGTGATTGTAGATTCTCCTGAAAGATCCATGTCTCTACCAGCCCTAGGCAGGTGACTAGCTTTTCAATACTAGGCATGGATTCCTTCCTATTGAGTGGATCTTACACTCAATTAGGAAGAAGTTGGGTACCTCTAATACATGTGTGCAACTACTACATCTTTAGGGTTCATAGCTGTCATAGCTGAGTAAGGCCGTTTGTTGCTTCCGTCATTTGGAAGCTTGCGTGTTGCCTTCTGGTGCTGAGAAAGATGGTGCTCTCTGGTCAGTCCTACTGACGAGCATCCTCCATCTTCAAGGGTCTCATGACCATTTTTTTTAGTTGTCTTGAGGTTTGTGTTGAAGAGGATCTTTACTACGTTGTTTAAGTGGGTGTGGAGGTTGTTGTTCAGTTCGCTGAACTGAACGCTTTGTGCTCACGCCTGGGTGGGAGTTTTACTGACTGAGCTGCACAGGGCTTAATAGTCTATTTAGATTTTGAAAGCTTTGCATTCCTCACTTGAATAACCCAGATAGCTAAGGAACTTGAAAGCTGCTGCCTTTGAGTGTGGCCAGGATAAGATAAGGCTACTCAACAGGTCCTTGCTGCTGTGTAGAATGTTCTGTCACGTGAGCTATTTACCCAACATACTTGATTGAACCTGAGTCCTCAGTGACAGATAGGAATGCTGTCTGGAGTCTGTAGCAGGACCCATATGTGATCTCCAGTAGGGGCCCCTGATGTCTGTGAAAACACATGCATACAAAACAAACATTCAAACAAACAAACAAAAACAGTGTGTTGTGCAAGACATGAAAGTTGAAGTAGAATCACTAAGGAAAACCCAAAATTCGCTAAAACAGGAAATGAAAACTTTAAGAAGTCAAAACACTCAGAAAAGTCCCCAAAACAGATACAAGACATGGAAGGGAGACTCTCAAACAGTGAAGACCAGGTAGAAGAAACGGACACCTCAGTCAAAAAAAAAAGTTAAATCTAAATACATCCTGGCAAAACCATCCAGAAAATGTGACAAACTATAAAAAAGAAAAAACCAAATCTATGAGTAATAGAAACAGAGGAAGGAGGAGAAACCCAAGTCAACAGCAGAGAAAAGGTTTTCAATAAAAACCAAGAAAATTCTTATAACCCAATGAAGGAGGTACAAGATCCTTATAGAACACCAAAAAGACAGAACCAGAAAATCAATCCTCCAAGACACATAAAAATCAAAGCACGGGCTGGAGAGATGGCTCAGAGGTTAAGAGCACTGACTGCTCTTCCAGAGGTCCTGAGTTCAATTCCCAGCAATCACATGGTGGCTCACAACCATCTGTAATGAGATCTGGTGCCGCCTTCTGGCATGCAAAGCATACATGGAAGGAATGTTGTATACATAATAAATAAATAAATCTTTTAAAAAAATCTTTAAAAAATAAAAGCACTAAACACACAGAAGAAAGGAAGATATTAAATAATGCAAAGGAAAAAGACCAAGTAGCATGTGAAGGCAGGCCCATTGGAATAACACTGAATGTCTCGATGGAGACTCAAAGACACAGAAGGATCTGGACAGATGTACAGACTCTAGGAGACCACAGGTTTCAGCACAGCCAACTATACCCAGCTAGACTTTAAATCATTGCTTGATGAAACCAAATTCAAGCACTCTCTACAAATCAGCTCTACAGAAGGCGCTGGTAGAAGTTAATTTAGCTAGGCATAAATACTCACCAGCCGCTGGTGTGAAAACGACAGATCTCATCTTCTTTGCCCCTTTGCTCCTGCTGCCAGAAGCCATGCTGCAATTACTTTTAAACACAAGTACAGAACACTAAGCCAAGATTAAACCATGACTACTTTCCCAAACCCCAAGCACACTGCAAACATGCAGAGATTTCTTTCATTTTGTTTAGAATGTCGAGCTAAACTTTGTTCCTATTATCTGTATATTTCAATTTGCTGTGCAGACTGGCATCCACCCTGACTGAGGAAGAAGCACACACACTCTATACGGCTGTATCCATCCAATTCTGCCTGTAATAAACATACGAACATCCTTAAATATCAATTATCTGTCTAACATGTGAATAATAAAACTGGAAAACTCAGAGGAAAATGTGCATGAATCCACTTTTTTTATTTTTTTCTGTGACATATTAAAATAGAAACACACCAGATCTCTTCACACTCAGTAATTTACATTCTCTATATTTTTCAGTCACACTGTATCCTCTTTTCTGATGTTTGCTCCATCTGCTTTGCAATCATGCCCTGTTATCTAGTCAGCGTAATGGGGACGTCCGCACAGCGAGTTTCATGTGTCCAGTCCAACCCTGTAGGCCACCCTTTGGGCATGAGGCATCTCTTCCTTGTTTCAGGCAACTCAGATGCTCTTTCGTCATGATGAGAGTTCCAGGACTGAGACACTGATGGCCAGGAGAAATGACAAGCGTGTCTAACATCTCTGGTTTGGGGTGGGTATTTCATCCTCTCTGAAGACGCTCCTATGGTCAGAGGCTGCTTCAGGCAAGGCAGACACAGACACCTACCCTTAATTCTTCAGATTGCTGTCAGCAGCGCCTTCACGATTCTTAGACTAGCACATGCTCTCCGTGCAGACACAGAATCTGAGGTAGGAAGGACTGTAGGACACTAGCTGTCCCCATTGGTGTCATCCTGCCATGATTTTTGATGTCCCTGAAGATTTTCTTTGTAACAAACAGAATATTCTGTGAGTTTTAGATTTCTCAGAAAAGTCTCGTCCTATAACACAGAGCTTGGGCCTGGGATCTAGTTTGTCTCCTGAGCCACAATGTTTAACTCTGTGACCCAGATGAACTAATTGAGCTTGCACACAATGCCAGGTGGTGGTCCAAAGCCTCCAGGTAGGGAGAGCAACCGTCCAGAGGGGATTGGATTGGAGGCGGGGCTGAGCCTGTGCCCTGGGGGCCTCCTTTGCATTTAAGCAGCTCCTAGACAGCCAAGGACTAAGCAGTCCTAGCCTCAGCCTCTACCTTGGAAACTATTTCAGACACCGGCCAAGGTGCACAGGGCATGAGATCGAACTGACTGATACTGCAAAAATAAACATGTCAATAGCTTTGCTATGGCTAACCCTGCACTTCTTTCTCTAGGTTTGTGATACCTGACTCCTGTTGTTTTCCCAACTATCCTTTGCTTGGAAATGGCTTTGGCTTCTTCACCAGCTAATCCCAGTTTAGATGCTGAATGGCAGGAGTGGAAGAGGAAATATGAGAAAACTTACAGCCAGGTTAGTAACAGAAGCAGTCCAGGGAGATCTCAGAGAGAATGATCTTACCTCTAAAAAGTTCGTGGACATGGACGTGGCTACAGAGACCAGCCGTTGCCAAGGGATTGCCTAAAGACTGGTGTTATGAACTCCAGGTGATCAGTCTCGTTGATCCTCTGGGTGCGGAGGATGTCGTGTCCTGAGGTCCCTCTCCATGGATCCACTTTGCCTGTCCCTACACTTCCTTTGGTCAGCTTGTGTGGGAGTTAATAGGAAAGAAATATTACCTGCTCTGTTGATTTCCAGGATGAAGAAGGCCACAGAAGAATGGTGTGGGAAGAAAATAAGAAGAAAATCGAGGAGCACAACACAGAATATGAACAGGGCAAGAGCAGCTTCTGCATGGGCCTGAATGAGCTTAGCGACCTGGTGAGTGGCGTGTGAATTGTCAACGCTGTGGTTTTTCTTTTCACGCTTCTCTGCTATCTGTTGGTTTTCGTGTTTTGTTTGCTTTTCCATGGAGACTAGTGATGAATTCTGGGAAATGATGACTTGCTCTTTGGACCCAGTATTGGAAGACCAGGAGGTAATTGACACGCGTCTCTTGAGTGCCGTTCCTGCACTTGAGCGTGTGACAGAGGACAGAAATGTGTAGCTGTGTCGCCCACGGTAAACTGGGAAGCCAAGAAGGAACTGGTCTTCACTTACGTCAGCTGTGGATAAACACCCCGTTCCCTGTTTGACTAAGTGTGCAGCTCTGAATTAGTGGCTAGAGTTGATGTTTGATTACGGATGACAGCCTCTCCTTGCTCACTGTAGATGTTCTCTTAGTTTGGTTTGACCGTGGGTGGTGAACACGAAAGGTAGAAGTTCCAGGCAGATCCTGTGCTAAAGCTGCTTTGCTGCTCTCTTTGGGGTTCACGCAACGTGTTTTTCTTCCAGCCAGAGTAGCAGTTGGGATTTGGATGGCAATGCAAAGGCAGCCAGAGTATATAAATTCCTACACCATTGTCTCAGAAGCATGCTGCCCCAAGATGTGCGCTTCATGATGGTGACAAGGTTAGAGCAGGCCAAAAGAAGAAACAGCGAGGGGGCCTCCTCCGTTCTACAGCGAGGGGGCCGCCTCTGTTATACAGTGAGGGGCCTCCTCCGTTCTACAGCGAGGGTCCTCCATTATACTAGCCAGCCTGTCCTGTGAGAGATCCAACACTCAAGACTTTTAAGGTCCACGCTGTTGTGTGAGCACTAAGAAAATCTTACTGATATTTTATTGCATGCTCTGAAGTCCTTTACGTTATCGATTCTAACAAGGATCTTTAAATTTGCTTTAATAAAAAGAGCATACACTGTAATGTCTTAAAAATAAAGCTTGGTTTTAACTGTAGTATTCTGCTTTCTTTCTGGCTTTGGTTCTGTAAGTTTTTATGTAGGTAAAAGATATAATTCTGTTTGATGGTGCAGCTGACTGTGGAAACTGAGTTCTGGGAGACAGTGTCTGTGGCCCTTTTCAGTAGAGAGTCGGGATTCCACCTTTGCTTGAGCTTCGTCTCCAGGGTTTTAGATGGCCTTGTTTAACAATGACCTGAAAGTTTATTTGAAATTTTGTTCAACTTAATGATTTTAATTCACCTGGGTTTGAGAAGTGAAAATTGTTTGTCTTTGGTGAAAGAGAAGAGACCGTCTTCTATTCCACTGCACTGCACCTGTGCCGTGAAACTCTTTTCTCACGAACAGATCAGAACTGTGTTCTAGCTGAACTGAGGCCTTGTAGAAGCCATCTAGAGACCAAGGTCTGTGGTCACAGGCGTGTAGGTCATACGCAAGTGACCCTATCATAACCCAACACAGCCCAGTCATGAAAGAAATTCATACCTGTGTCAGCATGCAAAACATATCTTTTGTGTTCTCCTATAAATTTTAAAGCTGTTTTGTAGTGTTCTGAAGAACACTGAAATTTTAGTCAAAAGGCCATTAGCTACATAACTTTTGATATTCTACTAATTGTTACACCGTCATACCAATCCATGAACATGGGCCAACTTTCCATCTTCAGGCTTCTTCATCCCTGTTTCTCTGTCGTCTTAATGTTCTCATTACAGAGATCCTTTACCACCTTGGTTAGGTGGATTCCTGGGTATTTAAAAAAAAACTTTTTAATTGAATTTTTTCTTGACTTCTTTCTCTTCAAGTCTGTATTTGACATACAGAAAGCTGTTCATATTTAATTTTTATTCTTTAATAGTTTTGTATATACATAACTAATTTTGTCATTTTCTATCGCCCCAATATACTTTCTTACCTCCTGTCTGTCATGTAAACTAACTTTCTCTAACAAATATCCCTTCTACCTTAATGGCTCTTTTCGGTAAGAGTCTCCCTCGGTTTACTTTGGGTTGCTTGCATATGGCTGGGTGGGAAGCCCATTGACTAAGACACACAGAGCTCGGTGGATTTTGAAAGCAGCACAATCCTCACTTGAGTGTGTTACTCAAACCCGTATAGCAAGCGAACCTTAAAGCCGCTGCCTTCCAGTGGAGCCAGAACAAAATAGGGGTTTTCAATGGTCCAGGCGTCTCTGTAGAATGTTCTCTCACTTGACTCATGTAATCCAGCATACTTGATTGGACTTCTGGTCTCAGCAGCACCTAAGAGTGCTGTTTGGAGTCTTTGGCAGACTCTGTGAGCGAATTTCAGGAGAGGCCCTTGAGAATTTGGAGCAAGGTTCGATGATGATCACCTTTAGACAACTTCTCTGAAAAATAGCTATGGGCTTATTGCTGGCCCTTGTGGGAACTGAAGGCTTGACAGTGGAACACCAATGTGTTCTGAGTTACCATGTGTTACCATGGTACCATCAGTGTTACCATGTGATCCGAGCAAGACTTCATGAGTTGAGATTGATGTGACTCACTAAACCATAAAATTAGACATTCATAGATGGAATCTGTCATCGAATAGCTGTGATATATGTTGTTGAGCATATCCTGAGGGAACAAGCGACTTACGAGAAAAAATTGTTCAAATGTCTATGGTTCTTAGATCTATCTGTAGCAATGCCTTTCTAGCCCCAACACGTACCTTTGGCTTCATATAATCTAGAAAGAATTGAGAAAGTGGTCAAGGTGTGGTACTGATGGTTCTTCACACTGAGCAGAAACCACACAGACGCTACATCTATATTATTAGAGCCCCTATCTGGGACAACCATGAACTCAAGAGACATCTTCCCATGGTCAGAACCCTGAGCAAGGCACATGGCCACATATTTTGCTTGAAAAAAAAATGACCAGATGTTCAACTCTGTTCTAATTTGTGGACCATAGACAATGGTTTGGCTCTGTGTCAGAGACTTAGGAAGGAGAATAATTTAAAAATTGGTGAAAAAGATGTTCAGAGAATAAGTATTGTTACAGAAGTAGTCAAGGCCCATTGGCAGAAAATTATTTTCTTCAGATCTAGACAATAGGACCTCTGATGTGAATGGACCCTGTCAGGTCAGATACCTGTCTAAGAGACCATCCCACAGGGAGTCAGGCCTCCCACTCTGGAAGCCAGATCCTCAGTAAGCCAAGCTAAAGAGACAGGAGGAATAATTATCCTTTTAGTGAGATCACACTCTCCTTTCCCGAATTCCCTCCCCTTATCACAGTAGCTCACAAAGCAATAGCTCATAAGTGGTTTTGCTTTTCTGATTCACCCAGAGAAGTATGACTTGCCCTTTTCTCCTTTATGCCTGTGTTTCAAGCATGCTCTCACTAACACTTTCGGTTTTTATTTGTTTAAAACTCCCCTTCCTGCTCTGAGGCCGCTTGTCCACCATGTGGCTAACCTCCATGCTAAGCTAACTCAAGTGCCACAGCTTCCTGTCCTCTTAACTCTCTCAGTCCTCCATGAAGCCCAAGGCCTCCCCCCCCCCCGCATCCAGTCTTAGGAAGGTGTGCATCCAAATAGACTAGGATCCCCAAAAGCCAGTACATGCAGTAGAGACAAATCCCAGTGCCATTCTCATTGGCTTCTGCACCAATTGTCAGCCGCATTCAGAAGATCCAGACTACTCTCGTCCTTCTGTGGTCTCCATGCCAACTTAAGGGTTTAGAATGAGCGTGTTCCCATAAATGTACAAAACAGTCTGGGATTGTGCTCACGGAAAGACAAAACACTTTGTATTCTTTAAACCAAGCCACCCTGTCTCACCATGGCTCTCCTAATGCTTCATTTTTAGTAACAAACACACAGTTTCCTTTGTAGAGATATAACTTCCAGCTTTATGTTGCCCACTAAGTTTCATGATCTGCTGTGCTCAACAGTGTTCTCCCCCACCACTGCCCCCCAGATCTACACAGACCACAGAATAAGTGCCCGAGGATGGGTGCGGCCAGGCACCCACATCTACCTGGCATAACTGAGCTCCTGGGAGGTCCTTCAGGCTCTGCTTGCTCAGCTCTTGGCTCTGGCATTCTCTGCCAGGTCGTCCCATCCCCAGCACCTTGCAGCTCCAGCTGCCCCTTGTAATGAGAGCAAGCCGTAAAGAATGATGTGTTTCTTTATGGGTAAGGAGAGATAAGCAAGTTAAGTGTTCTTAAGAATATTACATTAAAAGTCAATTTCAAAGAATCTAATGTCGACACAAAATTAATTCTTGGAATCGTAGTTGAAAGCCAAGATTTAAAAAAAAGTCAAGATTTCTGAAAATGATTGTCAGAAGAATGTTAATTCTATTCATTTCAATTTTTTAAAAAAATTAAGTTTAGATTGAGAGATTTTATTTACTAAAGAGAACATTTAGAAAAAAAAATATGCCAGTGTTGCATAGAAAGAGTTTAATGGAGATGGAGGGATGGCTCCATAGTTAAATGTTTTTATAAACGTGTGGTGTGCTAGCTTTAAAAACAAGAAGAAAATAAGCTTACCACAATGAGGTCATATCCACAAAGAAAGCAATTACATCAAGGACAGATAATAACAAACATTGGTGAGAAAGTAGAGAAAAGGGAACCCTTTCTTTGCTGATGGGATTGGAAATGGTGCCTCCGCTGTGCACCAAAGTCTGGATGCTCCTTAAATGTGGTTACCAAACAGTCCAGGAATGTCAGTCCTAAATATATTCCCCAAACCCTCATGTTCATCATGAGTACAAAAATCTTCTACACCAGAATCTGAGACATCATCTCCACCAACACCCGGCTCCTTGGTGGACACCAACTGAGGGTTCTATACTCAATATACACACTGCAAAGCATCTCTCCGCACACAGTATAGCCAAGGGCTTGGTCCCACAGGGCTGCACCTGCCTTAGAATAGAGGATGTCACAAGGAAGAGTAACTGCAGCTGCATGCAGTGAGACCCCTGCCTGAATCCAAACATCCTTCTAGAGTTAATCACTTTCCATCTCTTTTGTCTGAAGAAAATTTACATCTGAAGTAAATGAAAGGTTTCCAATCTATATGGAAATGTAGGATGTAATAATGATCTGGGAGTGTGTGTTATAATCAACCTGGTCAGAGCTCACACTGAGCAGATTTTAAATAAGACATGGAGGAGAGCTAAAGCAACTTCTACCATGCATGCAGCCTCTGCCCACAGCTCTGGAAGTCAAACATTGCAACAAGGGGAAGGAGCTTTGTGGGCAGAGCTTCTCTGTGTCTGGAAGCCCCTCCCAAATAACCATTAAAAGTGGATAAATATTATATGGAACAAGCAAATGGGACTTATCATTGTGAAAGGCTGGTTTGGCACATTATTGTGCTGGTTAATTGGTTGGTTCTTCTATTTTCTCCTTTAATTACCTACTTTATTATCATCAACATTGGTTTGGGAAACCATCATTTCATTCAAAGACTCTACCATTCCTATAGAAGCAATTTTTTTCATTTTTTACTAAAATATATTTATATTTCCCCCTTCCCTTTTCTCCCTCCAAACCCTCCAGGTACCTCTCCCCACTCTTCTTCAAATTCATGCCTCTTTTTTTTTTTTACTGTTATCACATGCAAATGTGTAATTGTATATGCATCTATATTCCTAAATATAACCCGTTCAGCCTGTCTAATGCTACCTGTGTGTCTGTTTGGGAGATGACCATTTGGCACTGGACAACAGGATGGTGTGCTCTCTCCTGGGGAGGACCATCTCTCCCACCCACAGCTTTCCTCAGTTGTCTATAGTTCTGTGTTTAGGGTTGAGGCCTTGTGGGTGAAGAGTCCAAGAATAAGAATATAAAAATGAATATTCCAGAAATAAGAATGTAAAATTAAAGAAATATAAAGTTTTAAGTCTAGGAGAATGAAAACAGACTGTCAGCAGCTTTCTCAGCCAATCAAGGATAAATCAATCCCAGCTATTTTCTTAGATGCTTAAGTTTTTATTTTACAACTGGCTATTCTATTTACAAGGCCCGCCCAGCAGGTCCTAAGTTACTCCAGGGTCTTGAAGAGGCACTGTTGTTCTTTTTTAAAAAATGCTCCAAGATCCCCGCGGCAGTAGGCAGCAGAAATGTTGTAGGTCCCAAATGGTGGCGGCCGGCCATGTGGTGGCAGGCAGCAGGCCCTGGGAGCAGCCAGTCCCAGGCAGAAATGGCTGCCGGTCCCAGAGCAGTGGTGGCCTGAGCGGTGGTGGCGGGCCATGTGGCAGCAGGCAGTGGGCCCCAGGCAGAGTAGGCTGCTGGTCCCTGAGCAATGACTGGTCCCAGGCAGGGAGACACATAGCAGGCGGGCAGAAGACAGAAACATGGATAGACACGACATGCAGGGTGAGGTTGAATGTTTATTCAGGGGGTTATGGAGGAGGAAGGGTAAAGGGGGGACAGAGAGAGAGGGAGAGAGAGGAAAAAGAGACAGAGAAGGGGGGAAGCAGAGAAGTGGGGAGAGAGGCAGAAGTGAAGCTGCCTCTCCGAGAGGAAGATGGAAAAGAGAGAATGAGCTCAGGCCAGAAGCTGAAGATCAGCCTGCCTCAGCGGATGGGGAGGGGAGTGGGTGTGGCTTGTCTCTTAAAGGGACCAAAACCAGAACAGGCACTATCTGAAAGACATGGGGGGGGGGGGGGAGAAAGAGACGCCAAGCAGTATTCCTTGTCAAGGCATCCCCTTTATTGAAGCAAGTTTTACATCTTATATACTCGTCAGTGAGGAGATTGGGCAGGGGGGAACTGAGGAAGGGGGAAAGGAGGGGAAGGAAAGGAGTGGCTCCGTAGCTAGGCAGCAAAGTGGGGCAGTTGCGAGGTCAAGGGCTAGAGCACCTGCTGTTAGTGATAAGCAGCAAACAAAAAAGACACTCTAAGGTGCCACGGGGAGCTTGAGCCTCCAAGGTACGTATACAATGTCTCAGTTAACTTTGAGTTTTCTGTCTCAAGATTTCCACCTCAAGGCCCAGTGAGATGTGAGAAAGGAGGAGCCTGAAATGGCTCCTGACATGAGACTATGAAAGACTATGGGGACTTTGGAACTTTGATGAAGTGAAATCTGCTTTATGACATTGCTAAAAGCCTATGGGGGGGGGGGGGCAGAGAATAGAATGTCGTGGTTGGAATAAACCCATAGGCTCATATATTTGAGTGCTTGGTCTCCAGTTGGTAGAACTTCTGGAAGGGATTATGAGGTGGGACCTTTTGGAGGAGGTATGTCACTGGAGGTGGCATGGAGGTCTCAGAACACAGACAAACCTCTCTCTAGGGGTGGGAGAGGAAAAGAAAATGGACAGGACTCTATTTCTGATGGAGTGTGCAGATGGAATTGGAAACAGACACAAAAGGCTGTGGAGGATGGAGCCCATGTGAAGCCTGGCGGACAGGGAGTGATTGTTTGGTCAGCTCTTCCTAGAGCCCTTCTCCACACTCTTTGGAGGCCCAAAGAGGCCAAAGGTCAGAGAGTCCGGGACTTGTTTTTTAGTTCATTCGAGATTATTGTACCTCTAACTCAAACAAAAGATCCCACCTAGTTGTAAATCAGAGTTCTGTTCTCTCAAAGCTGTTGTCCACAGGTGTGGCTTGTTACCCGACCTCCTGCTCCTGAAACAGGGAAGTAGTTGGTTCCTACCGAAAACAAAAGTCTAAGGATCCAACTAAGTTCTAGTTCCCTTTATGGAAATAACTTGGGATTCCACCCAGGAGTAACTTGCCTACAGAGTGTTTGGTCTAAGGCATGAGTCAAGGGCCTGAGTGAGGAATGGACCCCCTGACTTTCAATTTGTGTGTTAATGCAGTCATTTTGTTCTGCTCCTACCTTTTGAAGTCAGGGGTATAATAAGCTATTGGAAATTAAACATGAATGAATTTTCAGAACTCACTGAAATTCCCTCCCAATACTATCCTATTTGTCTCTGGGTTTTATTATTTTCATTTGTGTCTTTATATTCTTTACTATATTTCTAAATTCCCATGCATCCACTCTGGAAGAAAGGTAATTTTGTCGAGGCTGGCCCCTGAAAGGAGCCCTTTGTGACAGGGAGACAGGAGCTCTGTGATGTGGACCTGACCCAGCTGCCAACACCCAGAGAGAACTCTCAGCCTTCAGTAGCCTGAGAATAACAGTGTGATTCAGATGGAGAATTTTCTCTCTCTTCTGGAAAGCATTAATCCTTCATGGCTGACCCCCAGCTCCACCACTTGGACAATGGACATGATCCTTGCCTTTGTGTGTGGGCTGGGGCTCTTCCACCTATTATCACCCCTCCTCCACCTTGACTCATCCTCACCTCCACCAGCAGAAAACACCACCACCAAAATCGTAAGTATGCCTTAGGCCCAAACCAATGAAGAAGAGCTTCCTCTCTCTCCAGGCTTCACTTTCCAAATCAAATAGGGGGCTGACAGGGGATCTCAGCCTGAAACAGGACCCCATCCTCTTGAGAACTGGCAGGTAGGGCAGAGGGGAGAGTGGGCTCCAAAATGTCTGCTCTCAGACCATCCATACCTGGGAGAGGCCTTGTGACTCAGTGGTCAGGGGTGGTGTTCCTGGGTTGGTTAGGGACCTCTGAGAAAGGAAAGGTTCTGAGCGATGGTTTCTGTGTTCCCCTCTAACATACAGGCTTATAGGGTTGATCCAGCTGAGATGAAAGGGGGCGATGACCTCCAGCACATCAGGAAGCGACTGCTGGTAGTTCAGAGCTGAGCCTCTGGTTCCTCAGCAGAACTTTGATCAATTACATTCATGGTGGATCTCACAGAGACAGCCCCCATTTGAGTTTTCCAAGAGAAAAAGAACACATATTTGTCCACATTATAGATACGTCAATGGGGCTGGTTCTCTCTCTCTCTCTCTCTCTCTCTCTCTCTCTCTCTCTCTCTCTCTCTGGTGGTGAAGAGGGAGCACAACAAAGTCAGGAAGAAAGTCAGGACTGTGAGAGGTAGGCTACTTCCTTCCCTGGTGAGGTGACTTCAGCCTTCCCCCACCCCTACTCCATGATTACACTGATGAGCTGCAGGACCTTCAAGGCAGCAGCTCCTGGGAAGGAACCCAGAACTGAAGACATTCCCCAGGTTCTGTGCTCAGAATGAAGCTATGGGCAGCCAGGACTGGGTACTGACTTGGGAGGGATGGTGTGGGAGGAGGTGGTGCCCTGTGATGAAGTGGTGCCATGCTTCCTGTTTTGGAGGTAAATTGGTGGTTTGCCTCTGAGACACTTTCCTCTCTCAGAGCCCTGGTCCTTCCCTGCCCTCCACAGGGAGATAATGACGCCTATGGAGGTCCTTAGAAGTGGAGGCTCCTGGTTCATGGCATTGTCCTGCCCAACATGCGTCTTGCTCTCCATGCATTTGGGCACATGGCCTTGCTCATGGATGTCTAAGCTCCTGTTTAACTTTCATTTCTATGGAAGGACAGTTCATTCAGTCTCTGGTAAGATACCTGGTCCCTCCTATACCCACCAATAACCCACTCTCCATTTCCAGCTTACAGAGGCAACAGGGAGAAACCAAAGGAGGAAGAGGTGCTGGATTCACTTCTGCACAGGTGAGCCATCTCCAGTTCTCTCTGGCTCACTCCTGTTGCCTGCTATGTGATCACCCGTGACCAGGGCATGAGGTTATCCTGGGAATAGTGGCTCTCTGGATGGGTGGGATGTGAGTACAGTCCTGAGGTTAAGATAACAAGGTCTCGTAAAAAGCAGAGTATGGAACAGTGGTTGTGATGGGCTGTGAGGGTCCTTCCCCATTCATCTTGTCCCACCTCCTGGCCCCATGAGCTCCTGGTTACAATCATATTGTTGGACCCTAAAGTCCAATTACCGAGGAGGAGTTGCCCCCAAGAGACCACTCTCACACCGCAGTTGATGTAAAAGCAAGAGGATTTAATTCTGTTGCAACAGGGTCCTTCAGCATTCAAGAAGCCAAAAGACCCCGAATGATGACTGTCACAAGTTTTTTTAAAGCAAAAAGCCATAGAAACAAAGGGGGGGGGGAGGGACTCTCAGGTTGTTTTTCAACTATTAGGATTGGCTTATTCAAAGTGCTACTAACAATAATTGGTGTGAGCCAGATCAGGCGAGGTAAGAGGGAACATCTGAGTGTTACTTTGTCCCCTTTCCAGGGAGAGATTCAAAACATCTGTGGACATCTGTGGGTTATCTTGTCCCAATTCTGGGAATGGAGATCTATTTGGAGAACATCCACAAGAACACAGGGAGATGGAAAGTCCCAAAAATTCAGTACGTGCATGTGTAGTTGTTAGGTTCCTGGGGGAGCAGGGGGAAGGACTAAGGCTGAGAGGCCTCAGAAATGGCCTCAGAATTGTCCTAGAGTTCTACAATATCTCCTGTCTCTTACAGCATGCAAAAGAGACTTGTCAACACCATCAGCATTTGGCAGCACTTAAGATGCCTCAGGTGAAGCATTCAAACCAGAAGCTGCCAAAGCCCATCTGCCACCTAGGCAGCCCACAGAGGCATCTGTGGCCACCAGTTCATCCCTAGAGACTTCCTTTGCTTCTCGTAATAAACACCTGTTGCCCAGAGATTCTCAACCCGTGTCACCTGTCCTGCTGAATTCCTCACAGATTACGTCACAGTCATCTGTACTTGCCTCTTGGCCTTGACTCCTGGATGCCATTCACCACCACCACAATGGGCACCTTGCTGCCCATCTCATCCTCTGGATTCTGTGACTTGTCCTCCACCTATGACAGATCTCAGCATGGCAGCTCCTCAGTTTGATTGGAAAATACTGGCAACCTCAAAGAACACACATCTGCCAGGTTTGCCTTCTCTCAGGCCAGTCACCTCAAGGCCTACCTCAACCACCTCAGGCCTTGACCATTTAAACAGGTCTACCTCAACCATCCCAGGCCTTGATAACTAAAGAAGGTCTACCTCAACCAACCTAGGCCTTGACCACTTAAGCAGGTCTACCTCAACCATCCCAGGCCTTGATCACTTAAGCAGGCCTACCCTAACCACCCCAGTCCTTAACCACTTAAGCAGGTCTACCTCAACCATCCCAGGCCTTGATAACTAAAGAAGGTCTACCTCAACCAACCTAGGCCTTGACCACTTAAGCAGGTCTACCTCAACCATCCCAGGCTTTGATCACTTAAGCAGGTCTACCCTAACCACCCCAGTCCTTAACCACTTAAGCAGGTCTACCTCAACCACCCCGGGCCTTGACCACTCAAGTAGGCCTATCTCAGGCCCTTTCAGGTACCAGGTAGCTGACAAAACCTTATGCCACTCCACCTCATCACATGATGAGTCCTTGCAAGAGGATCTTTCTCTCACCATTCACAAGGCCTCATTCTGGGCAGGCCCCACATACAGGCAGAAAGAGGCTGAGGAGCCCTCTTTCATTAACCCTGATATCCAGGAGATGATGGAAATTCAAACTAGCAAAAGAGTCAAACTAAAAGTTTGGAAGGGGAAAGAAAAAGAAAAATCTGACCTTTCCTTGGGCTGTATGGGCAGTATGCTTTACTCCTGGAGCAGCAAACCGGCCACCATCACCTCACGCCTTCTCTGGAACAAAAACTGCATATCTGAGCAGTTTCCAGGTCACCAGAAGGTCTTAGGCAACGACTTCAAGGAGACATATAACCAGCTTTACTGGGGTCTCCCGTTTCTCCACAGTGAGTCCCTTGTGGCTACTGTCAGCATAGTAGGGTCCCCACTAGTTTGCCCTCTATTTTATTCAATGGGCTTTCTGCTTACAGCCCATTACATGTTTAGACAAAGGACCCTCCACAGCTCTGTTCTCCACAGCCCTTGCTTCATCACTCAGTCAAATCTCAACCTTCATCTCCGAAGTTTTCCTGGTCCAGATCTCCACCAAAGACTAGAATCCAAACCCAGGCCCGTGACCCATCCTCTCTCTCAAAGCTACCATGTGATTCAGCTCCAATTAGGAACGATGGGGCTTCTTGCCCTACACCCTCAAGAACCCTAATTATTGTCCCGCCTGCTGTTGAACTCCTAGAGTGCCACCTTTTGAAGAAGCACCTAGAAAGTATGAGCGATTTACCAGTCATGGTTAAAAAACCACAGGAAGCATTTAATCAACTGTTGATTGCCTTTGGCGGGTTACTCAGTCTAGGGTTAGTAACCCACCTGGCAGTTCAGTTATTCCAGGGTCCCAGAGAGGCACTATCTGGAAGATATGAGCTGAGAGAGAGGAAGGAGGCCATGCTAGGTTTGTCAGAGCCTCCGTTTATTAGAGATGGGGTACAGCTTATATAGGGTAAGGAGTTGAGGGGTGGGCACAGGGGCCTGGACTCTTGCCGCGTGGTTCACGTTGGTCACATGGTCCGGAGGTTACCTTCGGTCAGGTCACATAGGCCAGGAAGTCACGAATTGACACACCTAGTTCTCTTGATAGTTTGGAATATGGGGTGGGTTCCGCTAACAGATAGCTCTCCATTAACAGCCAATTTGGGTGTGGGGTAGGCTCTGTCAATAGAACGATTCCTAACACAATTAGGGGTGTGGGGTTCTCTGCAGACTCCCCAGGGTGATGGTTCCTGCAATAATCCTAGGAGGAAATTGGCTCCTGACAATCAACACACTTCCAACAGATGGGTCTCGCAGGGCCAGGGGTCTGCTGTCCATCTCCAGGGGAATTTCTTAGCCCTGAACTCCAGGAGGTGATGGAAGAACATTTAAAAAAGAGATTCACATAACACCAAGGACAATGGCCCCACAAAGTCCAGCTATCTCTGGACCTGGGTCAGGCACAAGTTAATCACAGGACTTCATGTCCCTCAGCACAGGCAAATGAAGGCAGTCAGCATACACAGAGTGTCTCATCAAAGGGTCCAGAGAAATTCCAACCATGGAGGAACCCACCCGAGGATCTGACAAAATGTCTGGGAAGATCTCTGTGCAGGCCCCCAGAAGGTTCCCTAGGCAAAGTTCTCGAGGCTGTTCCTGAGACAGAGGTGGAAACTTGCCACATGAGACACCCAAGAAGTGATGTGCAAAGTGTCTCCCCAGTGGGACCAGGAAAGAAGCAGTTAGAAGGCTCCCTGAGAAATCACTCAAATAGTAAGTGGAGGCTAACCAGCAACACTAAGGTGCCTGTGGGCACCTGTCATGGAATATGTTTAGACCATGCATTGGTCCTGTCTGAAATCTCAAAGCCAAATATGAAAACTTGGGGGAAAAAATCTTTCAATGATTCACCCACTAGCGAGAAAACTACTAATGGGCCTTCCTTCCTAGATCCGGGCACTCAGAAGGTGCTAGAAGCACATATTACAAGACACCTGGTGAGGCACAGATGGAGCCTGCCCCTCAGAGGCCTCAAGACCATACATATTTTAAACATGAAGAAAACTATAGCTTTGCCCTTTCCATGGTCCTCCAATGCCTCTCTGTCCTGGGACTCTAGAGATGACTCCATTATCCAAACGGCCAGTGTCCTGGAAGAACCCATCTAGAAAGCCCTAGGAGAACCCGTCTAGAAAGCCCTGGGAGAACCCGTCTAGAAAGCCCTGGGAGAACCCGTCTAGAAAGCCCCGGGAGAACCCGTCATCTAGAAAGCCCTGGGAGAACCTGTCTAGAAAGCCCTGGGAGAACCCGTCTAGAAAGCCCTGGGAGAACCCGTCTAGAAAGCCCTGGGAGAACCCGTCTAGAAAGCCCTGCGAGAACCCGTCTAGAAAGCCCTGGGAGAACCTGTCTAGAAAGCCCCAGAAAAGAAAGTGATGAAAACAGCTTCCACTGTGTAATCTCAGTCCACACAGAACTATCCTTCTGCCCTTCACCTAGAATTGCTGAGAGAGGCTCCACCTAGTTACAACTCTGGGCCCTTTGAGGCCCCTGCAACTGTCTAGGGGGACAACGTGACTTCTGTGTTCACCCCACAGAGCCTTGTGGGCAGAGCCTGGCACAGTGATACAGTTGTTAGATCTGAGACAGACAACCCAGAGCCCAATCCAGGCCAAGTGAAGGTGTCTGTGGGTCAGAGGAGAGTGAGGGGGTGACCTCAAGACGTAACTACCAAGGGGTGGCAGTCTGGGAGACCAGTGTGGTTTCTCAGTTCTCACGTAGCAGGGATACCAGGGAGCTGGAGGAGACAGAGGAGGAAGAGTCCTGAGAGTGGACAGTCCCCGTGGAAGCTGGGGAGATGGGTAATTTTCAAATCAATGAGTTGCAAACCAGTGGAAGTCTATCATCCCCTTCTAAAACCCTTTCCCAGGATCCAGAAGACTCAGGCCTGAGCACACCTCACTGCTCAGCGGATGACGTTGTCCTGCGGGATTGTGCCACTGCAAGTTCTGCCAAGACTGGGTCCCGAGGTTCTGCTCGCTGCAGATATCCTGGCCTCCAGGGCCTCCCAGTCCAGCTTCAAGACTGTGCCCACTATAACCAAATAACCCTTCCTGGTGTAGGAATTCTTACCAATAGTAGCCTTTAAGTTACCCGCCCACTGGTGGTGGTGCACACCTTTAATTCTAACACTTGGGAGGCAGAGGCAGGCAGATCTCTGTGAGTTCGAGGACAGCCTGGTCTGCAAGAGCTGCTTCCAGGACAGGCTCCAAAGCTACAGAGAAACCCTGTCTCGAACAAAACAAAAACAAAAACAAAAAAAGTTACGCGCTTACAGGGGTGTGGCCTCATACTGTATATGCCAATGTAAAGCATGTATCCGGCCTTTTTCCTGGCTGCTGGATTCGGTTCCTGTTCCCCGTTCGAGCAGAGGATTGTGATCTGTGAGTCTACCCCTAAACAACCTTTTATCATACTCAATTCTGAGCTAGTGTGGGATTTCGTTTTTAGCTTCTTTCTTCATCTGGCGCCCAGGTGGATCTGGACTCCACACTTACCAGGTGGACTGGTTTAAAGGCCTAAATCCACGGACCAGAAAGTCTCCCACCCCCAACCCCTGCAACAGCAGAACTAACCGCATGTGGCAACTTGGAAATTTCCCAAGCACGCACATGCCCCTTACCTCCACTGCCAAGTTCCCTGCCACACTTGTGGAGACTTGCACAGCTTCCAGTTTGTGCTCCCTGCCTGTGAGTTCTGGGCTTTTTGCTCCATGTACAAAATTGATTTAATTGCTTCGAAGTTGCCAAGCAAGCCATATTTCTCAGTATTTATCCAGCCCTAAGGCGAGAAAGCCAAAGCGGCTCAGGACTGTTGGTGGCACCAGGTTGTACTGGCAACTCTTCAACCATGACACCTGCTGGACAATAAAGATCATTACCCCTAAAACAATTTACCAGACCTCATGCTAGGTAAATATTTTTACTAATTAATTATCAATAAACTGGAAAGTTATATAACTGCAGACAATACTACAATTTTAGTAACTTTTTGCTAATACTATGGATTGTATTCTGCAAAGCTTATATGGTTATTGTGATGCATCCATTTATTAGATATTGGGACTTGGTTTTTTCTTTATATTATATTCTTTTTTTTTTTTTTTTTTTTTTTTTTTTTTTTTTTTTTTTTTTTTTGGTTTTTCGAAACAGGGTTTCTCTGTGGCTTTGGAGCCTGTCCTGGAACTAGCTCTGTAGACCAGGCTGG